GCCTCGATCCCCACACTCTGACTCGTGATTTTCTGCCTGTTCTGCCCGCTCGCGCAAATCCCGGCCGTGCGATTGGAGTTTTTGCGCGTGAGCTGCTGCTGCTGCAATCGCCGCATCACCTGCGCCGCATTTAGTCAGTCATCAGCCGCCCGTCCGCCTCGCCTCGCCTCCACTCGTGACTTGTGACTTCTCAATCGTGAATCTTGCCTTTGGCTGCTGTCCAGCACGTCGCCATATCAACGTCAACGTCCTTCCTTTCTCAAACACGTTCATCTAGCGGCAACGTTGATCCACTGGACTTTCATACCTCACCTCAGCCGCCCCTTGTCCTTCTCCCTTCCACCTTTCGACCATCACGAATCTACAAAGCGCAAGTTCGCCATAGCCAGCTTGACCAATCACACAGCGCGCCACAATGTCTGACAAAGCCATGCACGGAGATGAGGTGGCAAAGCACAACAGCGAAGAGTCGTGCTACGTCATTGTTCACGGACAAGTGTACGATGTGACCGAATTCCTGCCAGAACATCCAGGAGGTAAAAAGATCATCCTGAAGTATGCGGGCAAAGATGCTACGGAAGAGTACGACCCCATCCACCCGCCCGGCACGCTGGAGGAGAACTTGCCAAAGGAGAAATGCTTGGGCAAGGTGGATATGAGCACTGTGAAGAAGGAGGAGAAGAAGGAATCGGCAGAAGACAAGCAGGTGGCCAAAGCTAAAGACGAGCTGCCACCGCTCGAGCTCTGCTTGAACTTGTACGACTTTGAGGTGAGCATGCGGTCCGTGTATCGGTGGATGCACATCCCCATCACATCTTGATGCGCACTCTGATCGCTCGCCTTCATCCGCACGCTCCATTTCGGGCCCTTGCGAAACGCAGGTGATCGCGAAGAAGGTTCTCAAGGCACCTGCATGGGCTTACTACTCGTCTGGTGCCGATGACGAGGTGACTATGCGAGAGAACAACAATGCGTTTGGCAGGATCTGGTTCCGACCTCGCATCTTGCGCAACGTTGCCAACGTCGACTTTAGAACGTCAATCTTGGGCGTAAGGACATCGATGCCCATATACGTCACCGCCACAGCTTTGGGCAAGTTGGGTCATCCGGACGGAGAAAAGAATCTGACGATCGGTGCTGGAAGGGAGGATGTGATCCAAATGATTCCGACCTTGGCTTCCTGCAGCTTCGATGAGATTGTCGATGCTCGAGTTCACGATCAACAGCCTCAATTCTTCCAGCTATATGTCAACTCGGACAGGACCATCACGGAAAAGATCATTCGCAAAGCCGAAGATCGAGGCATCAAAGCCCTCTTCATCACAGTCGATGCGCCACAGCTGGGTCGACGAGAGAAGGACATGAGGGTCAAATTTGAAGATGTAGGGTCTCGAGTACAGAATGATGGCAAGGATAATGTGGACCGGAGCCAAGGAGCGGCTAGAGCCATCTCCAGCTTCATCGACCCTTCCCTCAACTGGGACGATCTCAATTGGCTGCGAAGCGTCACTCGTCTGCCCATCATCCTAAAGGGTGTGCAGACTTGGGAAGATGCTGTGCGCGCAGCAGAGCTGGGTCTAGGAGGTGTAGTTCTCAGCAACCACGGAGGGCGACAGCTAGACTTTGCGAGATCGGGCATCGAGGTGCTAGGAGAAGTGGTTGAGGCTCTCAAAGCTCGCAACCAGTTCCCTAACCCCATGTTCCAAATCTTTGTGGATGGTGGTGTCCGTCGAGCATCAGACGTGCTCAAGGCTGTAGCTATGGGAGCGACGGCTTGCGGTATCGGAAGACCCTTCCTTTACAGCTACGCCGCTTACGGACCGGACGGTGTGCAGCACGCCATCAAATTGCTCAAGGCGGAGATGGAAATGAACATGAGACTCATTGGTGCACCTACACTCAAGGACCTCGTACCTGAAATGGTCGACACGAGAAGCTTGCACCAGCACATTAGCGCAACGCCAGATTCCAACCAAAGCCAAATCTACGAGCGTTTGAGCACGGCGGTGGGCACTGTCAACAAACTCTAAGTCGGCCATGGGTGCCAGAGAGTTCACTGTTCAATCGCTATCTTCATTCTTGTCCCGGAATCAGCCCTACTCGAGCGATGCCCCGCATGTCACCCGTTGCTGCTTGGGGAACTTCCTTATGCTCGATTTTCACTTTGTTGGAGTGTGCACCACTTTCGTCATTCACGATTGTCCTTGAGTGTGGCGTCGCATACATCCGCTTCGTGCCGTTGCAATGGACTTTCGAATCAGATATCGAAATCGGAATCTTCCTCGGATTCGTCGACCTGTTTTTTGCGCGTGAACTGGAATCGGGAATGGGGTAGCCAGTGGCAGAGAAGATTACGTGTCAGCAAGCTCAATTGTTAGGTGCAGTGCTCAGGCCTCGTAGCTTGTAACGATGTCTTGAATGCTTTCTCCCACACACGGTCAGCATCGTCCTCTCTGCCCGCTTTGCAATGGCAGACCCCCAACGCTTTGCAGCCCCGTGAACTCACAGTGATCTTGCCTGGCCCACTTGCGCTGCCCGATCCTCCCCTGCCTTGGCTCTCGATCTGCTCCAACAATCCGATCAGCTGAGGTTCCGTTATCCTTTGCCTGACCTGACCCGACTGTGCCATTCGCAGGATGAGATCTTGGATAGCTCGAGCTTTTTCAGGTTTGACTAGGTTGATGCGGGACACTTTGGAAGAGCAAGAGCGAGGTGAGCGAGTTGTGCCAGATTAAATTGTGAGAAGTGGGGGGATGATGTTGGGCCGAGCGAGTGTTCTGCGAAGGAGATGATGCGTGGCACTCACATCTCTCTCTGGCTTCGTGATCCAACACGGTGCTGAGCATTGTTCGCTTCTGCTCCTCCATCTGCGCTCGCTGTTGTTGTTGCTGTTGTTGTTGCTGCTCATCCGACGAACCCCCTTCCAACCCAGCTGGCAGGCCTGCCATACCTCCTCCTCCCCCTCTTCCCCCGCTGCTGGAAGATCCGGCTTGCAATTCCCGCATACGAGAAGCTCGCAATGCAGCTAGTTCAGAGTCGTCCATAGTGAAGTGTGGAGCGCTTTGCGCTTGTGACGAAAATGAAGGGTCGTGGGATGCCGGCGACAAGAATCGCAGGGATGCGCTTCAAGAAGCTGCAAAACTCTTCACAATCTCTTCTTCTTGCAGCAGTAGATCATTCAATACGTTGTAGATGCTAGCAGGGAAAGAGTCACGGAACCAAATCACAGACCAGGAATTGGTAGTTGGAGCAGATTTATGTGTAGGTTGATGAGTTTGTGCTCCTTCATGAACGCGTCTATGTGTAAGCTTCGGTGCGGTTTGGTATG